GGCCCCCCTTCCCCCCCAGCAGTGCCCCGCTACCGGCTCGTTGGGTCCCTCAGCGTTGGCCAGGGTATTCCACACACCTAACGCTGCTCTCTGCTGGTGTGGGGAATGTTTTTGTTGTTCTGCTTTTGTTAATAGCTTGCTTCAAACCATTTATGAAAACTTGGAAAATAGAAACAAGATGGAACAAGGTAGTTCTGCTTCTTAATCCGTATTTAAACTCAAACGATGACTGAAATGAAGGCAAACGCAGTGAGCTGCACTGGCACCTTACCTAGGTTTGCTTAAGTTCTTCAGTTTTAATTGCAGAAGTACCTCTACATTTCAGCTGGATACTTCCCTCCCTTTTTGAGTGCTGCGGGTACAATCCGTCGTTTTAATGGCCTGTCAAAGGTAAAGATGGCAGTGGACCACGTTTCAGATATTGGTGCATTAGATATTTATTGGCCCAGGAGTAAATAAACTTCCATGAAATGTTGAGAGTAAAACTGTCACAACGTGAAGGACTGGGGGGGGAAACAGAGTTGGTGGGTCTGCCTTCAGGATTCTTACCTGATTCTCTGTATTTCTTTAGTTTCCTCCCTGTTTGTCGCATTCACCTCTGCCTGTTTCAAAGTCTGCAGCAGCTGTTTTTCAGTTTCCTTGAAACAAAGGCACAATGCACAAATACGAGTTTAAGAGACATCCTGATACTTTTAAGCTACCAAAAATAGGCCCCATTTGCAAGCAGCTATTACAGCCAGGATTTCCATGGAAACATTAATAAAGAAATCTTGAGCCAATTAGAATAATTATAGAGCAGCACTGCCACACAGACTGAGTACCTCTCCGGAGAGCCTGTCTCTTGATCATTCTGGTTTTTTAAGCACAGAAAAACAATAGATAAGATGTATCTGCATGAGGTGTATTTCTTGATTCAGCACTTCAAAAATAGCTTATATTTACATTTCCAAGCAAAAGTTATAAATACCTTTGTAGCAACAGTTGCATTAAGTTAATAAACTAAAAATGAAAGAATTAAGATTAAGATAAAGGGAGTTTCTTAAAACCAGTTAAAAATTCACCTTGTGAGATCTTTTTATAATTTTTTTCTTGTTTCTTAGAGGTTGGTGCTTGCTGATATCTGGCCATATTTCTTATTTCATTTTATTACATTTTAATTTCTTTATGAAGTTACAGTATGCTTGGTGTGAAGATAAATGAGATGATACTGGCCCCTGTATTAAGGAACATCAAAGCTAAGCCAAGACCTATGAACATTTATACACATATTCTCAAAATTAAGGATATAGAGTTCTAAAATGGCCATTTGCTTAAGTCTTTTTATGATTAGGTTGTGGTTTGGACATGGTCCAAACACAGTTGGAGTCCAAATAATCATGTCCAAATAATTTGGGATTCCCTGCTGCGTTTGAGTCTTTCGTTCTGTCTGATTTCTCTCTTTCGGTCCTCATCTAGATTTACTTTTAAACAGTATCCATAAAAAGTCAGGCAAACTATAATCCTGCAAACACTATGCGCATGAGGACTTTCACTATTGTTAGTAGCTGTATTCTTACAATGTTAAAATTAAATATGGATGCAAAGCTGGCTTAAGATTTTTCTGCTGTATGACCCAAATGAATTTTGCTACGAAGGGTAAATGGCTAAAGTGGCCATTTAGGTAGGAAGAGGAATGGGCTCTGGAAGAGAGAAGCCAGGCTTTCTACTCTGGGTTAGTGGAAAGCTGAAACTCATGGCCAGTCCTGGCCTCATTATGTGCTTTGCACGCCCTCCTCTTCTCCTCCTCTTCCCCTCACAGGAATAGCAGCAGCAGACCAGACTTTCTGGGTCTCCAGAAGAGACAAAGTTGACAACTGTTTTGTCACAGTTTTGCATCGGTTTCATTATCACTGTTAATTGGCTGCTTTGGGCTGCTGCCCACCTTGCTAGAACTCCTCCTGGGAATGGCAGGCTTTTACTGTCTTTGCAAAATGCATCTGGTTTTAGGGTGTAGTCTCTTATTGCAGATAGACATGAAATAATATTTAGTATTTATAACACTGCATTGACATTTAAGCAAGGTGTTACGGAGTAGCTAAAATGTATAAATGGT